GGGGGGAGTTTTCTGAAAAAAAACAATTGATGAGATTATCTATAATACCCCTAAGTTCCGAGTGGTTTTTTTAATATCCCACAAATAAATTATTGTATTTTACTAAATATTAGATTTTAGATTGATATATAGAGAAATTTTTATGCCTATGAAGGCACAGGAGGAGGAGGAGGAGGAGGAAAAGAAAGAAAAAAAAGAGGGTAGACATAGACTTCGTGAGACAGAAAAAATTGTAACTATAATTAAACAAATGTAGTGGCTTATTTTAAGCTAATTAGTCTTTAAGTGCCTAAAGTTTTATATGCCCTCACATATTATTAGCAAAACCTACATACCCTAAAGTTTTTAAAATTGGTATCATACTACCTTCTGTTACGCAAATGTGAGAGTATTCTATTGAAAATTATCATGTGACACTCATATGCTAATTTTTAAACTCTTTAACCCTTAAAATTTAAAGTAGAACTGGGGCAGGTTAAAAATAGAATTCAGACGGGAGTATCCTCGTGTTTGTACTAGGGGTGGAAATGAACCAAATAATTAATAAATGGTTCGATAATTGTTCGAATAACTATTCGATCATATTCGATTCGGTAGTTCATTTACCACTAAACAAATATTTTTTAGTATTCGGGTTTACTAAAGAATAGAATTTAACCAGATGTATATTCGATTCGTTTATCTATTAAATATTCGCTTAAAATTTGATCACAACTTATTATTTGTATTATTACACATATGATGTTAAATTTTTAACTCGTTTACCATTGTTACTTAAGTTTTATGTACTGATTTTAAGACTTAAATAATCTTAAATCCATTTTCTAATTAAAAATTTGATTAAAATATATATACATCATATATTATAAAGGAATAATTTTTATTTATGAATTTTAATACTATTTGGAAATCAAATTCTTTAGCGGAATAAATATAGTTTGATATTCGATAAGTATTTGTGAATATTCATGAATATTTATCAAATACCAAGTATTCGAGTTCGAATTCGAAAAACTAGATATGTGAATATTAGAGTCCACATTCGAATTCGATAATTTTAAACAAATACAAATACGAACACCTTAGCATTCGATTCGATTCGATCGTTTACCACCCCTAGTTTGTACTACACAAGACAAATTAGTGTACTTAACTACGAAGTAGGCCAAACTGTAAGGTACTTAAGTGTTAATTAGCCAATTTTCACGACTAAAACACCCCTTGATACCACAAGTCCTTTCCCCATCACGTCACAAGAATAAGAACTAAAAAAAAAATCTCTCTCTTTTCCTGCGAGAAATTCGACGGGAACAAAAAAGTACAACGTAGGAGAACATAATAATATTATACAACCAGTGGGGCCCACACGGACCATGAGCCCTCTGACGTCAGCGACAGCGACGAAGGAGAGCAAAACTCCAACAAAGGATTTCAATTTTCAAAAGATCAAACGCGTCTCCCAGAGCTCAGAAATCTGCCCTCTCTCTCTCTCTCTCTCTCTCTCTTTCTTTGAAATCTCCGCCGTCGTGGCCACAAAAAGTCGACCTTTTTCTGGCGAAGAAATCGAGGCTCAGCTCGTCGGCGGGCGAATTAGGAGGCAGATCAGCTCGTCGGAGATCAGATCTCGTTGAGATGGCGAAGGAGACGGAGTACTACGATGTCTTAGGAGTCAGCCCCTCGGCCACCGAGGCCGAGATCAAGAAAGCTTACTACATCAAGGTAATTGACGCCATTACTTGGATTTTTGCTGATTTCGTGTGTATTAGGGTTTATATATGAGGTTAT